CGTTATATGTAGTATGTGGCCTTGCTTTTCACTATATGTAACAATTTTATCTTATTTTATCAATGTCCGTCTTCCTAAACAGTCGGACAACATCGTCTAGGCTTCTCTTTTTCTTTATGTTAAGGAGGATTTTAGTACGACAGTTACGTTTGGGCACGTATGCAAAGGGAGTGTCGAGCGGTACTTTCCATTAGGAAATTAGACGTATAGAGAGAAACTATAGGTTCTTGTACGAAGTAAATCTTATGCAGGCTAGCCATCTGTAAACTCTTTGTTTAATAAATACGTAAAGTGCAACTGTCAAAGAAAAAAAAAAAAAAACTTAAATAGTTAAATATAATAGTCCTATTAATTTAATATAAAAATAAGTTAATAACTAGAGTATTTAAATAGATAATCTACAAATAAGTTATAGGTATAACAATTAGTATAGAACAAACAAGTAATCTAATATTTATATATAAACTATTTAAATAAACAATAACTAAAGTTATATATATAACTAGTTATATACTCATTATATAATTACAAACCTTAGGAATTACCTATATATAATTCTATATATTTAAATTAATTAAAATCTAATCAGAAGGTCTAACAAGCTTAGTGTAATAGTTAAGTTATCAGATCACTATATAAGAGGTCTCGAGTTCAAATCCTACTATTGATAAATTTAAATAATTACTTAGATTTTGTATTTAACTTATTGTAAACTTTATCTGTTTCTAGAATTATAACTCTATAAATTATATTACACTGTTATCAAATGAGTTTTAGTAATTTTATCTTTATTTATATTTATTAATTAGTTATTCTTTATTTGTATTTTATAAATTATCTTATAAATTAGCAATATCTTTAACTAGCGTTATTAGAATTAAAATAGTCTCATGATCATAACGAGCTATAATTTGTAGGAATTAAATTAGTAGTTATAGAGTTATTAGTGTTTAAAAATTCCTATTAATATTTAACTATACTTAACTATACTTGAAGATGTTTGATAATATTTGAAGGTATTTGAAGACGTTTGATGATATTTGATAATGTTTGAAGATAATTAACTATATTTGAAGACGTTTAACTATATTTGAGAATGTTTAGAAAAAAGATATAAAAACCTTGCCTTTTCTCTCTTCTGTTAAAGTTAGGTTTGTCCTCTACAATTTTCTTAGCACAGACACTAATAGATAGTCTTGTATTATTAATATTGTATTGTAAATAAAGAATATTCTTTGCTTTAATATAATCTTTCTAATGAATCACCTTTGCAAAATAATATTCTGCTTTAACACTATTGAGAGTCTCTCTTCCATATCTTATATTACTTGTGATATACTAAGAAGGCTATACTACTTGTAATAATACTAATATTATTCAAATATTAGAAATATGATATGATATCTAAGGAATATAATATTGTACGAATAAATCTTAATAAGATCTATGAATAGAAAACCTATATAGTCAAAATCTGGAGTTAGATAAAATAGTACAGATTTCAATAGTTAATCTAGTTAATACTTAATTTAGTAAAGAAGTTTATATATATATATTATAGATTAAACAGATACATATAAGTCTGCTACAGTGATACTAGGTAGCTAGCAGTATATAATTTCTAATCAGTAATACTAATTTGACTTGGCAGCTAACTGAACTTGAAAGAATTTACTTTGTAAAACATCTAAAATCTTGAAGAACTAAATCAATAAAGAGCTACAGAAGGAACTGAGTTAGTACAAATATTGACAAGAATTTAATCTAAATAGAATCTATAAAATGAGCACAAAATACTCTAGTAGGTTTTCTTATGAGATTAACTGATTTTGCAGATACTTATAATATATTAAGTATAATATACTCTAAAAGGATCTAAGTTAATTAGTAGATAATCTGTAATGAGCTAGTTAGCTTAAGTAGTTAAATATTGCAATGAGATTAATTTAGAATTGTATATGATAATACTATGAACAGAGTGCTTAAACAAGTAAATTACAAGTGAATTATAAGTATAGTAGCTTATATAAAACTATTCAGATAGTCTAATATCTGTGTAGCAGACTACTTAAATAAATAATAATTAAAATTGTATGTATGACTAGTTGTATACTCTTTATGTAACTATAACAACAAAAATTATCTATGTTATAACTTTGTATTTGAAAATTAATAAAATACTTCTGGCAAAGTAAATCTCTTTAAAAAAAAAAATAAAAAATAAAAATCTAATCAGCCAAGATAGCAATCTTAATAATAAAAAATAAAATAAAATAAAAAAATAAACTTTAAACTCTAATAACTTTTTAAATTTATAATAAAAAATAAAATCTATTTTAACAAAATTGTAAATTAAACTAAAAGTAACAAATTTGTAAAACTGATTTTTTTTAAAATTATTTGTTTATAAGTATTTTTGTATTTTATATATAAAAAGTAAATAATTGTTAAATATTTAAACAATTACCAGTATACAAATTAAGCAAAATTTATAGTAAATTCCTAACTTTTTATTATAATATTTCACTGCTTCCTACAGTATAGCAGATATTCGATTTAATTGGTTAATAAATGTAAACAATATACATATTGTTACATAATTATTAGCCAACCAAATTATGAATTTCAAAAGAAAAAAAAATCGAAACTTTAACTAATCTTAAAATATATATTATACAAAATTAATTAAATTTGTTTAAATAAAACAACTATATTTATTTTATTTATTAATTTATAAAAAAAGCTTTATAGTTTAAATTACAACAAAACAACATATAGTTATACACATATATAAACCTCTAAATCTTTAATCGTATCTTAAAAAAAATAAAATAAATATAATTAACTGATTATTCTAAAATTTTTACAACATATAATAAATATTATTTTAATAAACTAAGATTTTAAGTTACATATTACATTCATATTACAGTATTTATACCTTTCTAAATTGTTACTTTTGACTTTATTCTATTTTTATTTTTACTCAACAAGCTAAATTTTAACTTGTATATACTTACTACTATACTTGTCTTGTTAAAAGTTTCTCTCTAAACAAAATTTTTAATGATAAAAATCGATAAAGATCACCTTTGCTTAATAGATATCTTGAAAGTAAAAGAAGCCAATAAAACGTTTTGGTTAAACTTTACTTTATAAAACCAAAAGTTGCCAATTGACAAAATGGCTTTTCATAGTAAAGTTTACTTTAAAAAATTTTTTTATATTGTGTAACTCAGGGTTTTATGAGCCAATAAAATCGAATGTCCGCTATGCTGCTTTTAATATTTAATTCGTGATTTGCGTGGGAAATTTTTATTATTGTTAGTTAATTCTGTATTTTTTTATGGTTAATCGTGTTTCACATGACCTGTGATAAAAGTGCTATGTTACAAGGTGCTACCAATAAATTTCTCCAAGAGACAATTCAATAGCTTATAACAACTATAAAGCCTCACTTGCTTGCAATTCTTCATTACGATGTAACACTTCTACTGTATGAAGGTTTGTCTCAGAAGAACTCGATTGATCTAGCTGTTGGTCACTATGCGCTTGTTCAAGTTCTTCCTTATACTTTTCAAGTAAATTTTCCAATGCTTGAATACGTCCAATTTTTTGCTCATCATAACTAGTTTGTAGATGTTTTTCTTCTTCATCATATGAATTCTAGTTCAATAAAATAAATTATTGCTGTTGATAATTGTATACATAAATGGGAGCTTGTCAATAGAAAAGGCCTAAAAATTTTCTAAGTAAATATTTTTTCAAGTTTAGAATAAAATATTTTAATAACTATTAAAGCAAATCTTATAAAAATTTTTTTATTTTAATTTTAATAAGTTATAGATTTAAAATAAAAAAAATTTTACTAAAACAGATTTAGGCCTTTTCTATTGATAAGTTCCCAAATATTGAATTGCATGCAAAATCTTGGTAATCACGAACCAAACATTGAGTCAGAAGCTCTACTTCTTTCTGCAGCAAATTTTTTGTTCTTTTAAATGCTTCGAGTTCACTTTTAAATTGATTCTCCAGAGATTTATACTTGCTATTTAACTGTATAATCTAATATACAAATAATACATTCATTAGAGTTATAAAAAAATAAGTAAGAAAATAAGAAACACCCACTTCGTTTTCATTTTGAGAAATTATCATATCCCTATTTTTTATTTGTTCTTCTAAGTGACGCCCCTTTTCTTCGAGCATATCAATTTCAATTCGTCTCGATGCAAGTTCTTTACAGAGCTTATAAGGTGTATTAATATTGATTTGATCCTTCTGTTGATCTAAGTAACTTGTCCTATAACATTATTTAAATAAAATCAATATATTATTCAACTTTAAAAAATTTTATGAAACTAAATCTGTAATAAATGCCATTCGAATTTTTCTTTTTTCAAAATAGTATTTTCAGCTTCCAACTCGGCAGCTTGATGACGCAGCGAACCTACAAGAGAAAGTTGATATTCTGACGATTCAACTTTCTGTTGAAGAATCCGAATGCTTGGTGTCAACTCTTTCAAACGCTTCAGTTCGTCTTTCAAGTAATGGTTATCTTTTTCTAAATCCTGGATATATGTTGATTGCTCTAGAATACATTGAAATATTGAATAACTACTAATAATTATCTATGACCATACTCAATTTATTTAATCATGATACCTTGGCTTTGTTTTTGAGGTGCTTAAGGTCATCCAGTTGGGAAGAAAGTTGGTTGAACTCTTGTAACTTCTGTTCAGCGTTATTTAATTGCTCTTGAACTTGTGACAAAATAGTTTGTCTTGACGTAGAGATTTCATTTTGCTGCTGAATCTTAATTTTCATTAAAAGATATTATAACAATATAAATATCTTTCACATTTTAAGAAAATTTGATTATAATAAAGTAAGCAATAAAACCTCTTCGTTAAGACTTTTGACATGATGATTTAACCTAGCCAATTCTGATTGTAATGCATTAATCGTTCGATTTGATTCGTTTTCTTTTGATTGACTAATGTTTCTGATATCTTGCAAGCTCTGAGTTAATTTGTTGACTTCGTTTTGGAGCCTAGTAGTTTCACGAACAGAAGTTTGCTATGAAACAACAATAAAATCGATTTATTTAGAAATTGCAAAAATATGCTATTTTAGAATAAACTCTTCACAAAACTATTTACAATGTATTGTCTAGATTCAGCTTCAATGCGTTCAGCTTTTGTGGAAGCCTCCTGCTCCCGATCCTGATAGAACTTTATATCACTTTTTAGTTTCTACACCATTAAACAATAAAATTGAGAATTAATAAAAATTGGTTGTAAATAAAATACAGTAATATTAACGAACCTCATTTTTTAAATTCAGTTCTTTAATTTGAAGCTCTGAACTTTGTTTTTCTGTCTCCAATCTAGCAACTTTTCGTTCCAGCTCATCTTTTAAATTTTCGAGATCGACAATCTTCCCTCGAGCATCCGATAATTCTTTATCGAAATTTAATGGGATGAGGCTTGGAAATCTAGCGGACGCCGCACCAAATATCGAATCTTAATAAAAGATTATGCATTGAGTATATTACACGCAACTAAAATTACTTAACAATATATAATATTAAACTAAATAGTTTACCTTGTAGACCTTTGACAGTTGGCGTGAAATTGAAAGAACTTCTTGAAGAAGTTAGTGGGCTTATCCCACTTTTTGATGAAAATTCAAGGTCCAAGCGAGATCTCTATAAAAAAAAAAAAAAAAAAAAAACAACAGTAACTCAGTTAAACTGTATATAAATGGTACTTATATAAATAGCAAGTAAGGAAATTGACTTTTAAAGGTCGATCGCCCGTTTCTGAGAGACCATTCTGACTATTCCCTAAGCGAGAATCCTGGAAAAGAGTAGGAACACTCGGCGAAGACGAATTAGACCTTAAGAAAGGATTGATATCGCTGTCAAAAGCATATTGTTCCGGTTTCCTTTCAGCAGAACGTTTGTAAGGTGGATAGGACATTTTTTTTTTTTTTTTTAAAGAATGTTTATTAGACGGTTTCTCAGTTTTTCAAGCGACCTAACAATGTAAATTAACACAGCATAGAAGAAACTCGTATTTTCATGGAAAATCACGGGTTATAACATTCATATGATTGGCTAATTTATGTAGATCC